AGGAGAGTGATACAACCACATATGGATTCTTAAGTGATACTGTTGAGTATCCACACCATGTGAAGTTGGCCATGGAAGTCAAATGTACCTGCTGTAGCCACTACAACATTTTCTTAGTTTAGTGACATTTGAAAGTGCCACAAAACTATTCTTCTAATGACATTTTTTGGTCTTGTGGCATTTTGAACAAGTGCCACTTCTATCGGTGTCACGGTAGATACGACTGCCACGGTAGATACTTGCAAGTGCCACTGCACCATCATGTCTGAAAACTTTCAATGACATTTTAATGTCATGGTAGATATTATTTGTGGCACTATCAAGCGCCATTAAAAAAAGAGTTAGTGACACTTGTAAGTGTCATTACACCATCAAGACTAAAACCTTTCAGTGACACTTTAATGTCATGGTAGACACTATTCGTGACGCTATCAAGTGCCATTCATGACGATAATTCGTTGTAGAACAATTTGATCCGCTCTTGCGGAGACTCGAACCGCCAACCTTCCACATCATAAACCTTATACACCACACTCTTCCCACTACACCTCTATAGCACCACATGATTATATATGCAACATATATTATTTATATAGTACATACATCCATATTAATATAAAAGTATATGTATAAACATAATTATTTTATTGAACATAATTTATGTAAAATAAACTATTTACTAGCAAAATAAAAAAAGACCACTTTTGGCGACTAAAAATATTTTTTAGTCGCAAATTCTATACTTTTGGCTACTAATTATTTTTAGTTGCTAAAAAACTTAACTTTTGCCAACCAAAATCGGATTTGGTCACCGAAGATGCACTTTCAGCTACCAAAATTTTGGTCACCAAAAAATTTTATTCCCGCCTTAGGATTTTAGTTCTCCCGCGCTAAAATGACCACTTTTGGCGACTAAACTTATTTTTTAGTCGCCAATTGTAGCCTTTGGCTACTAAAATTTTTTTTTGCACCAAAAAAGCTTTGCTTTTGGCTACTAAAATTTTTTTTAGTCGGTAAAACCCATATATAGATCGCGACCAAACTTATTTTTTAGTCGCCAATTGTAGACTTTTGGCTACTAAATTTTTTTAGTCGTCCAAAAGCTTTACTTTGGGGCTACTAAAAATTTTTAATCACTAAAACCCCATCTAATCAGCGACCAAACTTAGTTTTAGTCGCCAATTTGTAGACTTTTGGCTACTAAATTGTTTAGTCGCCAAAAAGCTTTACTTTTGGCAACTAATGCTGTTTTGGTCGCTGAAAGCTATACTTTCAGCGACCAAATTTTTTTTTGGTCAGGAAATTTAGTCGCCAAATATGCTTTTTCCTGTAGTGTATATTGAGTTTAATTCATTTATTTTAATCATTTACTGCATTTTAAAATTTTAGAAAATATATTGACATTTTTGTTTTTTTCAAAAATGTCATTTAAGCTTGGAAAGTTTTTGGCTTAGTGGCATTTCTCAAAATGCTTATAAATATTTTTTTATGACACTTTTCACCTAAGTGCCATAAAAAGTAATTTGCACCTACCTAGTGTCCTGACATTTTTTAAAAAATGCCATTGCAAATATTCATAAAAAGTTTTTGTAGTGACATTTTTGTTGTAGTGAAGTGACATTTTTTTTTAATTGAAATGCCACTAGAGCCTTGTATGATTGTGGCTCTATGACATTTTTCTAAAAAATGCCACCAAATATTCTTTTTGTGACATTTTTTAGGAACATGCCATTAGTATGGTGTCACTAAAATATGTTTTTGTTGTAGTGTTGTGACACTTGTTCATTGAAATGTCACTAGAGCCTTTTATGTTTGTCGTTTTGTGGCATTTTTCAAAAACGTGCCACTAAATATCATTTTTTGTGGCATTTTCTAAAAATATGCCACTAATGTAGTGCCATTAAAGTATGTTTTTGTTGTAGTGAGCAGATTTTGGGCTATAGACTTTCTGAAGCTTTTTCAACCTAGGGTGGCGGTGTTAATAGCTTGCCATTTATTTTGGTTGTTGGCAAGCAAATGTTGATTTTTTGGCTACCCCGTTTGTGTATAAATAGGGAGAGTTATGAGTTGAGTTGATTATCAGAAGGGAAGGAAAAGAGGGAGTTGTGGGAAGTGTATGAGAGTTTTGAGTTAAGTAGAAAGAGTGAGAGACTCATCCTCCTCTGTTTTGTATTTTTGCTCTGTTTATAGTGCATTCTCTATCTCTCCCGTGGACGTAAGTATTGGGCCGAACCACGTAAATATTTATCTCATTTGTATGTGTGATTGTTTTTTAATTATCTTTCTAGGTGTGTTTAATCCCAACAGATACAACTAAATATGAATTTCTAAATTGAATCCCTATCCATATCAGCACTGATTGAGAGCTCCACTGAGCTGGCAACCACTTTTTTTTTCTTTTTTTTTTAAAAAAAAAAAGGGAAAAAAGACAAAACAAAAAAGAAAAAGATAATTTAATGCTAGTTTAGAGCTACTCTTTTAGAGCTCTAAAGCAATTTTCCTATCCATATATACATTAACAACAATGATTCATCCCACTAATTTGAGAGCACTAATTGACCACTAATGAGGTGAAAATTAAAAAAAAAAAAAATGGAAGAGCAAAACATCCCATCATGTAAAACCTATATCACTTTAAAACTATTAGTACTCTTCTATTTAGTGATCTCACTCATTTTTCCTACATTAACAAAGCTAACTGAAGATGGAAAAGAGACAGCTTTATAGCTGGATTACTAGCGTCCTCAAGTCTTGTCACATAATTGCAAAAGTTGCATACATGTATTATCCAAAATAGTTGAATGAAAATGGGCAAGAAATAACACTTCGAAAATTGTTGATTTGACAAAGAAATACTTCACATGTAATTGGCAGCCTCGTAGAGATGCAAAAGGTACAATAATTTCGATTTCAACAAGTGGAGAGAGACTTCAATGAAATTAGTATGACACACTATTAGAAGAACACAACATACTACAATTGATGTAATGTGATTTGGTTCTCTTGGTTTTTTTGAGCTGTGTTTGGCTCTTGAATTCGGAAAGAGATTTGGTTATTCAATTTCAATTGAGAAATGATGCTGTGTTCGTTGAAAAAATAATTAAGTTTTAAAAATTAAATTTAATAAAAAGACACAAAACTAAGGGACACATGTTAATTAAGAGATATGTTGCTAGCGAACGGTTGTTTAGAGTCCTATATACATAAAGGACCACCCTTCACTTCCAGATTTATATGGAAAACATTTTCCCCTCACTTTATATATTCAATATTATATTATTATTTTTCATATATATTTTTGAACAACTTTGATTATAGATGATTCAATAACCTTTTTGGTGTATCCAAAGTGATTTTTGTGGAATTTTGGAGTTGTTTATTGTCCACTAATACCAATGTGAAAGAGATGAAAAATATATGAGAATAAGCAAAGAGCGAATGCAACACAATCATTATTACCGGTTACAAAAAAGTTGTGTGAAGAGTGGCATACATTTTATTGCGAAATGAAGATACCAAAGTGTTGTTCTCCACCTTACTAATTTGATAGATTTAAATAGAGTGGAGACAACTTATTGAACTCATAGCGCTTTTAGTCACACACCGAAATTCACTACTTGAGGAGGAATTTCTTGAACCACAAAGCTGAATGTTTGGGGTATCTTTTTAGTCCATCTTTGAAATCTACATAGACAATTCCGAACCTTTGGGTGTAACCGGATAACCATTCAAAATTGTCAAGAAATGCCCATGTAAAGTAACCTTTAACCTTCACGCCAGCCCTGCAAAGATTCATAAAATTAATGTAGACTTGTCTTTGACAATGATACATTTATGTTGAAGTTAAGAACAACTTCAATAAAAAAAATTTAAAAAAAAAAAAAAAATCTATAAAAAGAATCATAAATGAAGAAGAAACAAATCTCATTACTAAAAGAACCCTAGAAGTAGGGATGTAAAATTGGCTCTGCTAGGCGGGCCTTGGGCCCTGGGTCCCATCAAAAATTGGATTGGGCCAAGCTGGGCTGGCCCAATTACCAAAATATCAGCCCAGTCCTAGGGATAATTGGGTTTCAGGTTGGGCTTGGAATGGGCTTGACCTTTTTTTTTTTTTTTTGCCTCACCAAAACAGCTTTCAGGTGATGTTGGGCGTTGGGCAAGTCGGTCCTTGTACTAGGCCTCAATCTAGGCCTGGATCGGGCTCATCGAGTCGGGTCAAGCTAGAAAAAGTATGGCTTAAGCCCTAGCCTGGGGGGTCGGGTTAGGCCTAGTTAGGCCTCGAGTCGAGGGTCATTTTTACACTCCTACCTGGAAGCAAGAAACAAAGCTCACTACTTCGACAAAATCTTAATCAGGTACTACAACATATTAGAGTTTTAGAAACCAAATATTTTGGTCTCTAAAATTGAATATTTTGTTGCAAAAGACATTTAGGAATCAATTTCTATCGTCATGAGGATAGTCATTAAAAGGTCATCTCAAAAAGTCGAAAACAAGGCTTTTAGCGACAAAATTTTGAAAATGTCACTAATAAATTGACTTTTAAGGGCAAAATAATTTGGTCTCAAAATAGTTTATTTTTTTAGATAGAAAATTTGGTCCCAAAAGAATAATAATTCATCACTAATGTCTAATTTTCGTTGCTAAAAATATAATCACGACACTTTTCGCAATAAAAATATTTGATCTCTAAAAAATAATTTTATCCCTTAATTTTGGTCTCTAAGACCTTAATTTTTTGTAGTGAGGTTGTAAAGTGGTTAAAGGGGTGTATACTGTATTGTTTTCCCTTGATAGCTTTTAGTGAAGTTACAAATTGGTTTTTTTTTGAACCAGAAGCTACAAATTGGTTGAGGATGAAAAAGAAGAAACAAATTTCACTACTGAAGAGACCCTAGAAGCAAGAGACAAAGCTCACTAAGTTGATAAAATCTTAACAAATCTGTAACATAGTTGAGTATTTAAAGAACCATATATAAGAGCAGGAAGTGTAGACTTACGCAATGGCATTTTTAAGTGATAGAAGATGCTGATTGTAGAAATAGACCCTCTGGGGATCCTTGATGCCGTCTTCAGTTGTAACATTATTGTTGTCACCCATGCCTGAAAATGATTCGAGGAATGAACTTTATGTACAGATGTTATTTCAATTACTTCAGACAATACATGATTACTCAAAAATGAAATATGTTATTTTCATTAATTAGTTGAAAGAAAAATTGTTTCAACTTTAGAACACATTAATGTTACCGTTCTCTGTTATGTAAATAACTGGATCGTTGTACTTCTCCTTTGTGTAGACCAATAGATCTTTCAATCCTTTCGGGTACATGAAAAATGCAGGTACCCCAGTCTGCAAATTGATTTGTCCCAAGTTGAAAAAAATTAAACTAACACTTTGTGTTGTTGAAATGAAATTGAATTATGTCCTTACAAAGATTTATATGGACATATTTCTTCTCATAGTGTTTTATAGAAAAGTTTCTTTGATACTTACTGGTCTCCCAATAGCTACCCCATTTCGGAATGCTGCAAATCAAGAAAAAAAAAAAAAAAAAAGAAACAAACAAATAAAAGTTACATGGGTTTGATTCATTTATAGAGAACTGTAATGAAATTTTTTTTTTTTTTTTTTTAGGGAACTTACCAGTTTGATTAGAAAGAGAATCGGTTGTGTAGCTGAGATTAACACTATTAGAAGTGGGAACATTTAGTACATAATTTGCAATATAGTAATTTAGTCCGAGGAAATCGAAAGACCCCTTCACCAACATAGCTTGCTCTTTAGTGAACCTTGGTAACCTTTTACCAACGAGTCTACGCATGCTTTTTGGATATTCACCAAAGCTTAATGGCTCAATAAACCTGTCAAAATCCACTTCCATTAACTTATTATATATCTTTATGACTACAAATTATGTTTACAAGATGAACATATTCAGCTTGAAAAACTGGTTGAATTGCAGAGGGAAAATGATGCACAAACTGAATCTTTAAACAAAAATTACATCTAGAACGTAGTGATATCCGTATTTTTTTGAAAAGAAAAATGCTATGCAAAAATGCAAATGTCACAAATTTGACTAAAGAATTAGTATTAAACATAAAATTAACTAAAATAACATAATAGGACCGACAATGCTACATAGTGAAGATAAATAGTTTGTAAGATTTGTATTGTATAACAGTATTATTTTTGAAATTTAGAGTCGTAGTGTGGTCGTTTCTGTCTGAAATAGAATAATCACAATAAAATAAAATCACACACAAAAAAAAAAAAAAAATTGTACAAAACTTCCATCGGTATGACATTATAATTCACTTGTCCAACTTCTTTGGACACCTGTTAAATGAACAAATTTTTTGGGAAGAATGTTAAGTTATACTTTAGTTTCGGAGAATGTACTTACCATCCATACATGAAATCAAGGGCTCGTTGTGCTGCATCCTTGTCGGCTTTCGAATTGGAGTAGGGAATCATCCAATAAGTCACTAGTGTTATCCCTATCTGCCCCTTTTGATATGCCTGCATTTTATCTTTCGTTTATCAAATTACTAATTCTCGCATACTTGGAAGTAACACACCCAAATCTTTCTGTCTCTCAATTTAAATACATTTCCTAATTATTTATTAGACTAATTTAAAATTTTCACATGACCCAATAGATGAAAATCCATGCATTGAGACAGAAAGATTGAAAGATTTAGAAACAAAAAGACCAAAAAATTTAGGTTTAGAGCATCCCTGTCCAAATACTCGCATGTAAAGCTCCTGCTCAAAATTTAACGTTGAGAATTTCATTTTTTGTGGTGTTTCCCTTTTATTCATTTTAATTTTAATTTCAATTCTTTTTGTTTTTGGTATTTAATGAAACAAAAAGAAAATTAAAAAATCCATCGTGTTTCTATGTTTTTCATTATGTGAAAACATAAAAATATAAAATTAACTTTTTAAAATTGCGATAAAAAGTTTTTTAAAAAAAAAAACAAAATACATTTTTTAGAATTATTTTCCCGGAAAAATTTCTACATTTTTCCAAAAAAAGAAAAGGAAAAGGGTAAATTATATTGGTAGTCCCTATATTTTTGCATTTGTGTCATTTTCGTCTCTTGATTTTAATTCGGTCAATTTTGATCGTGAATTTATAATTTTGTCCCAATTTGGTCTAGCTGATTGCAATTGTTATTTTTTTATGAAAAATGTGCACAAATGGCATATGTTATTTTTTATAGATAAAATTATAAACTTGTTCAACTCATCTCAACCAACCAACTCAGTAACCATTTTCTTTCAAAAAGCCTAATCGGCGTTATTAATTGAACTAAATTGACAAAAAAATTCTAAGATTAAAGGTCAAAATCGATCTAATTAAAATTGCACATACCAAAATGATACAAATTGTAAAATGTAAGGATTATCAGTGTAATAATTTATCCAAAAGAAAAAGAGACCACAACTAAACTGAATCTTATAAATGGTGCCGGGAGTTGAAAATGGGCGTGTAAATACTTTTGAAAAAAATGAAAACACAACTAATTATTATTCACCTGATATTTCTCCTTGTATAGTTTCACAGCAGCAGCATGAGAAAGAAGCAAATTGTGGGTAACTATATAGGGCTCAGTCCCAGAATTCCCTTTAGGGCAAAATGCCATAAAAGCCGAACAACGGCCCGGTGCTAGGAGACCTGCATCATAACCCCCATAGGAGTAAGACCATGGTTCATTCATTGTGATCCAATGTTTAACTCGGTCACCAAACTCCTTGAAGCACAGCTCTGCAAAATCCCGGAAATCGTTCCTGCCCAAAATGGTAAATATTCATGGTGAGGAGAAGTTGAAGGTGTATTAGGGTTGAGGACCTTCGTATATTACAACAGAAATTAGGAGTAACATTTTTAAACCAAGAAGCTATTTAAATACCTCTAATCAATATTTTCTAAGCATAGTTGGGGAGTGCTCTCGTAGGTTATAAGCTTTTGTAGTGATAGTCTTTGGGTGGCAATAAGTGTTGGTTTCTCGCCAACATTATCCTTTGTTCTCTTTTTTGCTTTTTTTTTTCACCTTTATTGACATAATCTCATATGTAATGTATGTTTTCTTCATCTATAAAGATTTTCTTTGTTGATAAAAAAAAAAAAAAAACATAGTTTGTGAGTAACATTTTTAATATGGTATGAAGAGATGTTAACTTACACAATGTGTGGGCTTAAAAAGCCTCCATATTCATCTTCTAGGGCTTGGGGAAGATCCCAGTGAAAGATTGTTATAAAAGGTTGTATACCTGTGTACATGGAGAATAACAATATGTTAGACAAGAGCTTCCATTTTAATTAAAAAATAAGGAAAAGAAAAAGAAGTTAAACTCGTAACAAAGCCCATCCCCTAGTTCACTCCCTTTACCACCCAAGTTATTTTTATTTTAACTTTTTACAATTGGCAAGAGGGTAATAGAGAAATGAAAACCGCATCAATTGTAAGACTTAACTTGTGTATTACACCTGCTATGAGAGCACCATTGGTGCGTTTGATTCAAGGGATTAGGGGACTAAATACTATTTGAATTATAATTTATTGGAAGCTCTTTATTTGATATATTTTTTTTTTAGTTCATCGGACATGGAGTCAGGTCGGACTCTTTATCCCCCATATGTAGAATTACACTGTCCTCAGAGGGGGGGGACAATTTTTATGGAATAACAATCCCATGAGATTAGGTGGTGAAAGGATCATTTTGACCATCTACTATTTAATTATATATTATATTTAGTAAAATTTAATAAAATTTAAATGTCTCAATTTAAATATAAAAAAAATTATTCAACTTTTTATTGATGTTTTTTTGTTTAAATTTTTTAAATAATTTTTCATAGATATTTTACTGATGTTTTATTTTAAAATTTCGTTTATATTTTATTTAATTTCATTATTTAAATTTTAATAGATGTTTTTATTTAATTTCATTATTTCATTATTATTATTTTTTAAAATAAATGTATTTAAAATTTTAAATAAAAAATAACATATATTTTTATTGATATTTTATTTATTTAATTTTTAAAAAATAAATTTATTTAATTGCGTAAAAAATAAAATAAAATAAAATATTATTTAATCTAGCTAAAAATAATTAAAATATTAAAGATATGTTGCTATTACTTTATAAACAATTGAAAAATGATAAAATAGTTTTTTGTTTATTTATCATTATCCAATCCGTCTAACCACACATTAGATTCATTAAAAATAGTCATTTCTAGACATCTAATCTCATGAGGGGATACATATCAAATCCAACCAAATAGTCTAGAGTATTCACAGTCCTAAGTTTCAAGCCTAATGGATTCTAATCTCTCCTTATTTAATCTGTCTAATCAAACACACCCTATATGAAGCAAGTTAAACTATTTACCACCTAACTAGGGCGGCCAAATCCTTTCTAGAGGCTTAAGACAAATTTTCAATTTGAGGACTTTTGATTTTTAAATATTAATTTTGAGATGTAAAATTACTAATTAAACTTTTGTAATTAAGTTTCTTAACATATCTTAGAAGATTATATTTGATTATCTAATAAATTAGAAAAAAAAACTATGAGTGAGAGAGAGAGAGTAAATTATAACCTTTCGATAAAAGGTCATTGATGACATTGTTGTAGAAGGCGATACCTTCCTTGTTCACTCCTCCGCTAAGCTTCCCCCCTGAAAAACCAAAAATTTATACAACAAAAAGAAATGGAGATTGAAAATCAGAAAGAATATAACTTTTCAATTGAAAACAAGTATTAAAATGTTATATAAGACCGCCTAAACTATAAAACCATAAGACGAATAATAATTAATTACATTTACCCAATGCATGTTAATTTTAGTCATACGTCAAAATTAATTACAAAAGTGTTATAATTTGTTCAACATCACATATAGGCCTTGTTTGGGAAGAGAATTAGGTTAAAATAACCCACAAAAAGACAAAATTAACTAAAATAGTCAATAAGATATCTTGCCTCTTTTGAAAAGTGAGTTAAAAGCCACTTTTTAGCTTTTTTAGCTTTTAACCCATTTTAGGTCATATCATCTCTTACATTTTTTTATACGTTTTTAAAAAAAAAAAGTCAAAAAAAGCTAAAACGTTAGCTTTTAACCATCTTCCCCAAACACCTTCAACCTATAATTATTTCATTTTTTTTTTCTTATAACCATCAAATCAATTACAAAAGAAGCCAACAAACTAAAATAGCTAACTTCTCAAAAAACGCCATAGTATCATCGTATAATGACATAACCTTATAGCTCACAGCTTCTTTTGGAAAGCAAAAAAAATAAAAAAAACTAGCTTATTGACTTATTACCTAATTTGTAGAGATATAACAAAAATCGAAAAAATTGACCAAATCAGTTGAATCAAACCGAACCAGTTATATTTGGGCAACTTTTTTTAGCCTCCGTTTGGGAAGTGGGTTGGCTTTTTGACTTTTTGGCTTTTTTGGACCTTCAACCTATAATTATTTCATTTTTTTTTTCTTATAACCATCAAATCAATTACAAAAGAAGCCAACAAACTAAAATAGTTCTCAAAAAAAAAAACGCCATAGTATCATCGTATAATGACATAACCTTATAGCTCACAGCTCCTTTTGGAAAGCAAAAAAAATAAAAAAAAGCTAGCTTATTGACTTGTTACCTAATTTGTAGAGATATAACAAAAATCGAAAAAATTGACCAAATCAGTTGAATCAAACCGAACCAGTTATATTTGGTCAGCTTTTTTTAATGTGAATTAGTCTATGCGGTTTTTATTTATTTTATTTTATTTTTTATTATTATTTTTTTTTTGGTTCGGTACTGGTTTAGACACATTTTGCTCCAAATTAAACCGAAACTAACTGAAAGTTTCTCATATTATATATATAATGAAATTGGTTTTCACTTAATTGTTTATTTTTTCTTGAATATTCCAGATTTCACAATAGATGTTGACAATGTGATAAGTTGTTAGTTTGCCAATCATATGTGCTTGAGTCAAGTTTTGTTACTACTATGTTTATATAACTATAACAGATGTTTATGTCAATTTCAATTTTTTGTTTTGACTATACTTGATAGACTTGTGATTTAGCTGTATGGGATGATAGTTTTAAATTTTAGTTTTGTTTTAGTGTCAAGACTTTGATTTTCATATTATATTTTGTTTCTAATTCTACTTCAAAATTTTTATATAAATTATTTATTATACTACAAATTTAAAAAGTAACTCAAATTTAAAAGACCCTATACAAATGGGACTTGGGGTCACTGTTGTGCCTCATTTTGAAATGCATTATGGGCTTATTTTTATGATCTGAACTGTTCATTTTGTAGGATTTGTTGAGTACTTCAAACCTACTAAAAATCATATTAATCGAATATCAATAACTATATGATCGAATTGCATATTTTTATACTATTTTTCAAAAGAAAAACTTCTTGTTTATTTTTTTGATTATCAATCATATAGTTATTGGTATCCGATTAATATGATTTTTGGTAGGCATGAAGAACTCAACAAACCTTACAATATGTACGGTTCAGATTATAAAAATAAATCTATAATGCACTACAAAATGAGGCACAACAGTCACTGCTGTGCCAAAGGCACAGCAGTGACCCCAATTCCTATACAAATGAAACCGCACCGTGCCAAACTGTCTCAATTGGTGCGATTTGGTGCAATTTGATGAAAAATTTGGTCTGTATCGATTCTCAATAAAATAGAACTGACATTATTGGTTCAGTGTAAAATTTTACCTAAACACCAACCTTCCTGAACTTATTACATCCCTACTTATTTGAATCACATTATCTCTTTATTTTTTACACATCTTTTTATAATAATCCAAAAAACTAACTTATAATCCACTATCCAACACAAAGGTAAAATAGACATCACTTGACAATTTTTTTTTCTCAGTATTTTACAAATAGAAAATTCTTACAAAGTTTTGATATAAAATAATTTAACTTAATGACAACCTCTTAACAAAATATCTATAAAGATAACTTATGTTTACACAAAAAGGCAAAAAAAATGCCACATATTTCATATGATGTTTTCTCATATAATTTTAGGATATTTACAAATACATACTCTTGAAATTTGCTTAAAATACGAATTATTATTTATAGTTTTAGAAATTACATTTCACTTCCTGAGATTTCTAATTTCATAACAAATGACCATTTTTAGTAATAAACCATCAACTCAATTAATAATTTTTAATGATGTCAGAAATATATTTCAATTAATAAATCATGTAATTGCCGGCCCTAGGCATTGGCCAACAAGGCCATGGCCTAGGGCCCCTCAAAATAGACCTAAAAAAGGGGCCCCTTTTATTATGGTATAGTGTAATGTATTATGTATGTTTTAAGTTAAAAAAAAATTAAAGAGAAAATACAAATTAACTTAAAATAAATTGACCCATTAAAAAATTAAAAGGCCCATTCAAAAAAATTAACATTGTAATCCACTAAAAATAGACCCAAAAAAGGGTCCTCCTATTATAATTTATTGTAATATATTAGGTATATTTTAAATCTAAAAAAAATTAAGGAAGACCCAAACTAACTTAAAATAAATTGACCTATAAAAAAATTGAAAGGCCCATTCAAAATAATTAGCATTGTTATTCATTGAAAATGATTTTGCAAAAAAATAGATTATGCAAGTATGATTAATTTATTTGCTTCTAAAAATGCAAGAAAAGCGAAGATCAAACGACACTTATTAATTGTTGTAATGTAATACTAAGCCTCTGTTTGGGAAGTGAGTTGGCTTTTTGACTTTTTGGCTTTTTTGACTATTTTAGCTTGGGTTAAAAAGTTTGGTTTGGGAAGGACTTTTTGGCTTTTTGACTTTTTTGGATTTTTTTGTGAGAGAAGAATGTAATCATTATGAATTGGATGTGATATTTAATTTTTTGTGGCTAAAATAACCTATTTTGTCTTATGGGGCTAAAATAGCCAAAAAAAGCTCCGTTTTGCTCTTGCCAAACGGAGCCTTACCATAAATTTTGTCCTTGTTTGGCAATTGGGCTTTTTTGGTTAAATTAGTCATAAAAAGACAAAACACATTAAAAAGTCAATAAAATAAAATGTCACAACTAAATCATAATCATTTTACTTTTTCTTTCAAAAAAAAAAAAAACTTGAATAAACTTTTCAACCTGAATTAAAATAGTTAAAATTCGCAAACCAAGCCCTTAGGTTGGAATAGAGCTTTTCTTGATAAATTCATCTATTCTATTATTAAAAACCAACACCAACTTTGGTGTCATGAAGCCTAGCTTAGAAGTGAGGCTTGAATTTGGTCTATTGAAGCCTCTACCATATGCTGCCACATGGAATTTAAGTAATTTGGAAAAAAAAAAATAGATCCCACGTTTTCCACTTTCTTCCTTAATCAACTACCCAATACTCAATTGGCGAGAAACGGTTTTGATTTCCGTCTCTCTCTCACACACAAAAACACAAACACATCAGCGATCTCTCTCTCCGTTTCTTCTTCATTTGTTTTCGTCTGCACTTTCTGTTTGTTTCTTAGCAAAATTTGTCGGCCGTTGCGTTCCTTCTGGGTGTTCTTTGATGGTGGTTGTTCTACATATTTGACTCTCTCTCTTCCATTACTCTCATTTGTGGGTATACAAAGAGAGTTTTAGAGAGAGAGAGAGAGATGAAGATAGAGAAATATGGACGCGAATAAACAAATGGGTTCTCCTTCATCTTCCTCATTCACTTCTGATCTTTTCAGTTCCAAGGAGTCCTCTGCTTCATCATCTTTTGGAATTTTTTGGTCTATCTTTGAGCCTTCTTCCAAGGTATTCATTCCCTTTTCCCACCACTTTGAATTGTGGACATTTGGCGAGTTCTTTGCATTTTCTTTGAATTATTTGATTCAATTTTAGTTTTTATGGTATTGGATTTTGTGCATTTTTCTCTGAGTTTTGTTAATGGCATCAGTTATTGTGGTTCTGTTCTTCTGTGGATTTGTTGTTTTGAAACTTTTTGAAGACTTTGAAGGTTGTGTCAGGTTTTTGTTGTGAATTTTTAATGGGTTTTTGTGTAACTTCATCAAATTGCGTAATAGGCCATGCAGATTAAAGAGAACTATATACAATTTGATGTAATATATGGGTTTTTCTTGAACCTCACCATATTTGTGTAAAGACACAATTGGGTATTTTTCAGTCAGTCAAGAAAAGAAATAGGAAATCAAAGTAAAATCTTGCAACATAACCTATTAAGTGAAGCTCTTAAAGCTTTTCTCACCTGTAAATTATATATTTAAAAAAAAATTATTAAATCTCAACTGCCCTACACGTTCTGCTCTCTCACATTTTATTATTTCACACCTATATATCTTCTCTCACTTTAACTGCCCAACTATATTTTTTTACTTCATCCCTCATGTTTGTTCCCTCACTTTTTACTTCATCCCTTTGCACAAACTTTTCAAGGGATTTCTAATCTCTCTCTCAACCAATTCAATCAATTTGTCTGACAGTTTGAAGTCAAATAAGTCGGATTCGAATGGGTTCAACCATGGTTGGAAGATTGGTGGTGGATTTGATTTTAATGGGTTAGGCTCTATTGTTGTTTTTATTTTTAATCTCAATTATTTTGTTAATTAATTTTGGAAGCGACTGCTACTCAAGTAAAAATAT